CTCCCTGAACAGTATGGCTCTGTGAATGATCATTATTATCAATGCGTTCTAGCAATGGTGCTCTATCCATGTCATCAGTTTATGATACACTAGATACACGCAAAACCACAAAAAAGTATCTTTAATCATGGCATAAATGCCAAAACAATGCTATAAACCGTAAAAAAGGCTATAAAAATGGTTTCTAATTTATTCTCATAGGAATGAATATACATGTATTAGAAAACTTTTCTGAAAAGCGGTCCATAATATATTCGTTCCCACCGAGCTATTGTAACCATTATTCAACAGTATTTATCAAGTAATCTCCTCTGAAATTTAATCTTTAATTTGACCAATAATATCTACAGTAAAAAAGAAAGACGGATAATGTACTAGTGTTCTTGAAAGTACATGATCCTAACAACAAACCAACTCCTTGTGTTGAACTCTTCGTGGCAGAATGTTGTTCGTGATTGGTATGGGTTAGGCCAGACAGGCAAGGCAGCTAGGCCTTTGCGGATAATGCCGGCAGAAAAATTGGCAGAATTCGGAACTTTTTCTGGTAAGTTTCATGCATGTTTGGTATGTGGATAAAGAAATGGAGCAGAATTCGAGGAATTGCCCGCCATAAGGTTTGTATGGTTCTGCCAATTTCACTGCTTTTCGAGCAGAATCTGCCACCTTTTCGAGCATTATTCGCCAATGCCGAAAGCCAGCTGTGTTGGTTGGTTGCCAACTTGGTATATTTTATTTTACTTTGAGAATGAAATGGCATTGCTGCCTTCTTGCCTGGACAAGTGGATTGTCCAAGCTCTCACAAAAAGATGAAGAAAGGAAAGAAATATCACATGAGACTGTGAAGTATGCAATCTTATAAGAGAAATATTTCATGAGAGTGTCACGCATGCATGATGAGAGAGGAGAGATAGAGAGAGAGAGAGAGTTGTGTACTACGTGCATGTATGCCTGGATGTCTCCATGGGCTGCATGGCTTTGCTGTCTCAGTTACGGTTATGCATGCAATCGAAGTACTGAGTATTTGACGTGGAACCGTCGGAACAAGAACGCTGGGATAGGGCACTGACTCAGAGCTTGACATGAGGCTGGCATGCGTGGTACCTGATGTGACCAGAGCTGCTTTCCTACCAGCGAGTCTGGTTCTCCACAGGCCATTTGTGTGTGATGTGTGCCGCCACTCCTTTGTTGTGAGTTGAGTTTCCTTATCTGGACGTCTCAGCACAACCAAGTGGTGGAGCCTTCTGAAATACCTTTACATGTCGAATCGACTTAGCACGATGAGGGAAACAGTGGAGAAGGGGAGGAGGCAAACGATGAAAAGAAAAAAAAGAAACAGCCCAGGTCACAGCAGAAACTGCAATCCTGGCTGCGGATTAATCTGCTAGAAACATTAATTTTATCACCTAGGCAGCTCTTACCTATGGCTTCATTGATATTCATCGCAAATTCGAATTACATGTATACGATTTTTGAAGCATATGAAAACGACGTGCATGTACATTGTATAATTATGTGGTCAGCCTTTACCCGATTAAATACACATAAATTCAGGGAGGGGGCCGGGGGGAATTGAAAAAAAACTAACTACAATTTTTTTGTAGTTACTTGAGAACACGTGAAAAGTTGGAATACACTAACACTTAGTCTTTTGAAAGGGTACAGAAGAGGGCGCGGCGCACAGCACAGCACCTGCATGTGCATATAGCCAATACAGGCAATAACAGGGGAAGGGGTAGTGTGTTATCAAGAACGCACAAATACACTGAATGATGCCCTGACCAGAAGGACCACGGCCAGCAGGGCACGTGAACGTGTTTGCTTACTGCCAATACTGGCTAGCAGTAGTCATGACGTCAGTAAGTAGAACACTTGAAGTAAGGACCGTGCAAGCAACGAGGAGATCGTGGCACCAAATATCTCCTCAAGAGTATTTGTATAATAATATTGTAACACCGAAGTGATAGTAGAAGAGGTTGCTGCGACTTCGGCGATACGAAGTGATAGTAGGAATGCGTAAATTTAGCTGTCAAAGGGGAAGCCACGGTACTACAGTGGTCCCTCTATAATCCGGCACCATTTGTGCCACGAAAATCTGCTGGATTAGGGAGGGTGCTGGATTAACAAATCTGATTTACTGCTGCAATGTACATGAAGAGGACATTTTGGCTACTGAAAATTGTACTGGTTTATCGAGGGTGCTGGATTATAAAGTGCCGGATTAGAGAGGGACGACTGTATTGTATTTGAATAGGTTCTCAAGGAGTTTGGCATTCCACTGTGCATGCATGTATGTAAGTGTACAAGCAGTGATTGTCCAACTGTTGACAGTTTCAGTGGGTGTTATTTTGAGCACTAGACCACCGTAACAACACGGATACCTGCTATTGGTTAACCGAGGTACGACACAATACTCAGAATTGCAACCTTCAGCTCTGACTTATGTTTTAAACAGTGTTTACATTTTATAGGATCAAAAATGACTTTAACGTCCTCAAAATTAATGTTCTAATACCAAACTGGTCGCATACATAACTAATAATTATTATTATACATGTACATGCCTACGCGTAGTACACAGTCCCACTGGATCGGAAGCCATTGGATTTATCGTCTGCCACGGTCGGGTGGGGTCTCAGTCTGTCGTTAGCTACATGACTACATACAGTGGTGGACAGAATTATTGTCCCACCCATGCTAAAATGTGATTCAGTTGATTGTTACTACCTAGACTCTAGCTAACGTGATAAAGACATTAGATACCTGATAGAAAAGGCAAGTTTTGCTTGTTATATGGTTTACAACTAGTAAAAGCAGATCTACGTGAGGATAATAGGGCAAAATGTGGGACAATAATTATGGCCGAAATCCAGTATATACGGTAAGGCTGCCTAGTCTACCTAATTACAGCTAGTAATGAACTAAATTAAGGCTAGCACCACTAAACAGTCCTGATCTGATGAAACTCACGCAGTTTTACCACTTCGTGGCTCCACCCTTGGCCTTGATCACTGCCTCCATGCGCGCCGGCATGGTGTTGACTATGCGCGCGCATTCGTCAGCAGTGATCAGGTTCCATGCACCCTTGCAGACATCCCACAGCTGATTGGTGGATGTGGGCCTGGTCTGCAGCTCATGGCGCTTCAGGCCAAGGATGTGCCACATGTTTTCTATCGGATTCATATCCGGCGACTGCGGTGGCCACTCCATAACGGCGACGTTGTTTTCCTGCAGCCACTGCTTTGTCGCACGCGCCGTATGCTTTGGGTCATTGTCCTGCATAAATAGGCCGCCAGCATCGCCGAACGCATCCTGCATGCTCGGCAGCATCACGTTCTGCAATATTCCTAGGTACTGCTGCGCGTTTAATTTGCCGTCGACCTTGTACAGGCGGCCTCTGCCTTTGGCGGACATCGCTCCCCAGATCATAATATTGCCGCCTCCGTGTTTTACCGTTTTCCGCGTACATGAGTCTGCGAGGGCTTCGCCTGGTCGTCTTCTGACGTAGACAGCCCCGTCAGAGCCCACCAGGTTGAACTTGGACTCATCTGTCCACAGAACTCGGCTCCACTGCTCACATGTCCAATTCTTGTGGGCTTTTGCGAATTTGATCCTTTTCAGTTTGTTTACTTTTGAAATAAACGGCTTTTTTACGGCCACACATCCTCGCAGTCCACTGTTTTGCAGCCTGCGACGCACAGTTCGCACTGAGACCGCGTCTCCACCGTCCTGCGCCAACTCGGCTCTCAGTTTTGTTGACGTCTTGAATCTATTGCACATAGAAAGCACCTTCAGCCTGCGATCGAACCTGGGGGTAGTCTTCCTTGGGCGGCCAGTGTGGGGCTTCGTATCGACTTCGCCAGTTTTTTTGAACGCTGAAATAATTCTGCGTACCGTACGATCGCAGAGACCCGTCAATCCAGCTATAGATCGCGACGAGAGACCCTCCTTGTTCATCTGAACAACAAATTGCCTACTATCTTTACTGAGCTCCTTTCCTCTCCCCATCGTGCAGAAAACCAAAGTGAAATTACTCAAATTGTTGTCAGGAAGCCGTCAGCAGGCTGGAAAATCACCACGTGGTCAAGATTTTGAATTTCCCGCAAAAATCAGTTGCAAAACTTTTGCCAGTCGTACACGTGACATTTCGGCCATAATTTTTGTCCCACTTTTTGTACGTTAAATCGTGAATATTCTGGGAAACTGGTCAGCTTTGTCAAAACTCATTGCTAATACCTGAAATGCATCGACTTTGTGGCTGTTTGGCACACAGCTCTGTCCAGGCTGGCCTTTGGATTCCAAAAGTTGACCAAAATGCAAGGTGGGACAATAATTCTGTCCGCCACTGTACATGTATATCAGAGCAACAACAGGCGGTGTGTGGCACTGGCAGGTGGTTTTCCAGGCGTGCACAGGCTGAACACTGTGTTGAATAGAACGTGTAGTGAAACAGGGCACGGTTTGCTAGCTAGCCTGAAAGGCTGAGACGATCGACCTGTCTGGCTCATTGGCAGTGCTTCTTCTTGACTGGTACTAGTATTGTGTTCCAGGCTTGTAAATAACAATAATTTTATTTGGGCTGCTGTACTGTACAGTAGTCAGTACACAAACTGGGCAAAGCCCGTACTCGGCGTCTGCATAAGCAAGATCATTCGACTATTTTAAGTAACAGGAATGTCTCAACAACGGTAATTACACCACGGTTAGAAATGAGCAGCATGCATACAGCGTAGTACACACTGTGCTCGTACCCAGCTGCAGGAGATAACGCATACATCAGCACAATCGTAATGTACATGATTGTACATGTGATTGTACTTTGTAGTCAAAGTCTTCAAACAAAGAAGTGTCAAGTGATAACGAGTGGTAAAATTCAACTCCAGGGGAACAATCTACCACTGCCACAGCACTTGATAGTTCAGCCGGCATGATAGCCGGCATGATAAATATTTTTATTACCGCTGGCACTAGTGATACATGTACATTGTCTAATGGCCGTCGTGTGCATGGCCCTTGTGTGCATGGCCGTTGTGTGCATGGCCGTCGTGTGCATGGCCCTTGTGTGCAGGGTTCAATTCGTTTTGGTTGTGTAGCCACACGAGAGTGCATTGGGTGCTGGGTGCGATTGTGCGATTCAGTCCTGAAAATATGAACACATGACCTCACACACGCACCCGCAATGATTGATGGCATGCTCGAGGATGACGCCTTCAGGCTCCCTGCCCCACGCACTGTACACGATACTGTTGATGCAGCTGAGATAGAATACATACATGTACAATGTAGTTATTTTAGTTTATACTGCACTAGAATTGGCAATGCCACCAGCAATAGCCTACACACTGTACAGTTGGGGAGGTCTGACTGTCTGACCTATGGCAGAGGATACACAGTACGGTTGGGGAGGACTGTCTGATCTACATGTATGGCGACACACCACTGTACTGTGCGAGCCGTGGATATTGCTCTCTCCTTTGCCAGCTGTGTTTATTGGCTACTTGTGACCACTGCGGTGTTGGCGGTAGACGTACGAAACATTGGCGAAGTTCAGCATACCAGTACTAGGACACGTACAGGTATATTTTAAACCTCAAAGGGTTAAAGTAGCGACACTAAAACTCTGACACACAACTTTCCTCTTGTATTCGATCGTTCTAGAACATTAGTGCGCACACCCATGCCATAAGTGCTATCAGTCAACCTGTAATACAATGTGCTTGAGTTCAGAAGCACATCGAAGCTCCGTGTCGTCTTCCTTCTTGACGTACATGTACTTGTGCGGATGGTCAGCGTGGACTGTACAGTCGTGTACTGCAAGTACATGTACAGGCATAGAATACAAACTGAGCATACACATAGCTCTCGACGAACCCCTAACGCTACTTTCGCCTTGTTTGTCCGTATTGTTTGTTTGTCATCAACACTGGAGTGGAGATTCTCCTTTCTTTATCTTGGTTATGGTCTCCCGTAGAAAGTGTAATCTGCAGAAGAACGTGAGTGGGCAGGGCGTAATGGAACGGACTGGGTACAGTGGAACGGACTGGGTACAGTGGAACGGACTGGGTAAAGTCGAACAGACTGGGTACGGTGGAAAGGACAGGATGTACATGTATGTAGTGGTCCGGGCAGTGTGGCGGACCGGACTAGGTGTACATGTACATGTAGGTATGTAGTGGAACGGGTAGTGTGTATGCAGTGGCGTAGGTATGTAGGGTCCATGTAGTGGACCAGACCGGGTGTAACGACTTACGTAACCCCGTCGTTAGTGGAGCAGGCAGGGTGTATGTAGTGGACCAGACTGGGTACTGGGTATGATGCGGCAGGATTGCCCTTTGACCTGCTTCCGAGTACGAGTGGTAGACGTTGACCTGCATGATTCTCTCACCTATGATGGTGTGCTGGACATAGACCCGGTCTACAAGTACAAGACTCACAGGCATTGTATTGTGCCTGCAAGAAGTTCGAGTAGTATTTCCCCGTGTATGATCAGTGACGCGTGGTAGACTTGACAGTACTGCGATCGTCTCGGTAGTCGCCTAGGCGCTTGAGAATGACGGTATCCTCCTGTGGATGAAGTATCACGGATATCATTGTGTATAGAGGGTGTGTCGATCGTCCCACAACCCTATATCGAATTGTACTCAGGCCCTCGCCGGAGAAGCGCTTCGAATGGCGCAGTAGATGCAGTCGCTTCGCGGCCATCCCTGTCCAGTCCTCGATGTCTCTGTAATGACCTGTCTTCAGAGCAACGTAGCGTCCCACCGAGTTAGGTCGACGGTGGAAGGTTATATTTCGCGACTCCAGTCTGTTCCTTAGATCATTATCCTCACCGCCCCATCCGAAGAAGCGGTTGCTGAAACCGTTGATGTGCTCGAACGTCTGTGTACGAAACATGCACACGCCGCCGTCAGACCACTCATTCGCCAGTTTCCATCCGTACCAGTCGATGGCCGTGCTCAGCTGGATCGCACGCACACTGGCATTCGCCAAACAGTCGTAGCTATTGCGTGAATCGCTGACCGGGATGAGGTCAATATCATGTGTGACCACACAATCATAATCCTGCTCTTCCTTGATGTTCCTCCGTGGCTGAGAAGTGGCCTCTATGAAGCCAATATTTAGAAGAGATCCTCGGTTAAACCTGGATTTGCCGAGCTGTTCGACGACAAATATGTGAGCGTCGATATTCTGGTGACGCAGAAAGTCCTGGATGGAGATGGAGAAGTTTTGAAGCTGTAAAGGTCGTTTGCGATAGGGTGCGATCAATGCCACGCGAGATCGGGTTTCAGCTTGTGCTTGTATCCTGGATCCATGATAGTGCAGATACGATGAAGGGCGCTTAGCTTGGCTAATCGGCGGGACTTTCGCATCCTCTTGGCGAATAAATGCAACGGTATAGTCCACTGGCGGCCACAACTCATCACGTTGGGCGGCAACGATGGTGGTGCTGCTACGACTCCTGCTGCTACGACTCCTGCTGCTGCTGCTGCTGCTGTTGGTGTGGCTACAGATAGGAATGGGTTGATTCGCTGACACTCCATCCTTATCCGAGATGCACGAAACTGGTACTGGAGATGGAATAAACCTCTGATCCCACGGGAATACGATAACAGCAAATAATAATTGGAAGGACACATACCCCAGCGCCATGAACAGCAAGAATTCGAAAGCCCAGGAGGCTAGAGGGCGCCGTCGCACATTTAACCTGGGAACACGCATTGTCAGAACCACGTGACCCTCTCCCGGGACAGTGCCGTGCCACGAAGAGACGGTTTGAACAATCGACAGCCAACAGTCAAGATTACCAATCAGTCCTGGATAAATACTTGTAACGGAGTAAAAAGGAGATAATTATGTTGCTATTTCCGTTCGCTCACACTACGAGTGGCCATGGCACGTGCTAACTGAGTCTCAGGCCTGCACGCAGTACTACATTGTACGTGTTTGGCGCTGATAAAATGGCAGCATTTAATTCCTCGCCCAGGCCTCGTATTTAATAGCCTGGGCACGATCTTTACCGAAAATTGTGACAAACACCACAGCCAGCGTAACATCGGGACGAGCTGCCTGGTAGATAGATCACTTCGGCTCCCAGTGCCAGCTGAGCGTTAGTCACTCGTGTTCTATATTATTGGGATTTGATGCCTAGCCTGTCTGAGTCAGAGGTCCCTGTAAGAAATACAGTCATGTAGAAACAAATCCTTTGCCGGAAACACTCAGTCACTGAGGACGCACAACACAAATGTTGAAAGGACACGCCATGCATTAGTGAGATGGTATCTTGGAGTTTCTTGCTGTGTCCCGAATAACTATTACTTACACAGGAGTTGCGAAATGCACCGGGGAAGGCGTGTATGAAACGATTGTGCCACGTTTCCCGGAACAATCTCATTGCGACTTGAACTTGAAGTGACTGAGAGTGAAAACTCTCACCCATGCATAACCACTCAACGCCATCTACAAGACTACATAATGCCATTACGTAGACCCCAAAGCGCTAGTGTGAGTTTCAAGTCGAAATTCGAAAGCGCGATCGCGTCACTCAATCAATGATGGATTCCCCGCACCTTTTAGCACTGAATGGAGAGATGTACATGACATTGAATAACTCAACAGGCTCTGTCAAGAGAATGAACCAGGTGCGAGTGTCTGTTGAGACCTGGAGGTTCACGCTTCAGGCAATCGTCCGTCACGCTTCAGACAATCATCCGCATGGCTAACTGGCGTTGAAAATAGCGATAATAAAACCAACACGAAGCACTGAAAATATCCTACTATTAAAATTGTCTAATAAAAGTGACATGAATGTTGAGTTAGTACTCAAATGGTCAAGGAAGCCAAATTTTGAACAGTCATACGTGCACAACTTCCACAAGGTAGCGCCAGACTGACCAGGAGTACTGAGACATTCCAGGGCAAGGAAGTGAGCTTGAGCTCTGCTCGATAGCGCTAACCAACGGCCTTCCAACTTGGACGGTTCATGGGTTTAGTGATAATTCCAAAGAGGGGACGGTAAGCACCATCGAGACGAACACAAGCTTCTTGTGCATTCCTTCCAAGTTGGAAGGCCGTTGGTTAGCGCTATCGAGCAGTGCTCAAGCTCACTTCCTTGCCGTGGAATGTCTCAGTACTCCTTGTCAGTCTGGCGCTGCCTTGTGGAAGTTGTGCACGCATAACTGTTCAAAATCTGGTTAGTTAGCGGACTCTAACGCATAACTTGTGCCCCACCACTTTACTTGTTTCCATTGAATGTTGAGTTATTTGAACAGGCGATGTGGAGACAATAATCCCAAAGCAATCTATAAACCTATGTGCGCACTCATATCTCGACCATAGCAACAATTTAAATTCCTGAACGTTTTCTTGTCACAATTGACAATGGAATTCGTGACTAAAGGAATGATGAAACTACTATTTATACACTTAGAGATAAAAACGAGGATACAAGAATAGTAAGAAAATGTTGAGTTCAAAAGTTGACTGATCTGCCAGAGATGTTAGCTGGAATGTCATAATTATTCAAGTGAAAAACCACAATCGTTTGTTCTAATGTGTTCCCGTGGTATGCCCGGTCACAGGCAGAGGTACGGTGGACCAGTACAGAAGGCCCGTGCTTAGAAGCTTAAGCCATATATCAGTCAGTACAATGCTGTAGACAGCAAGCTGTTGTACAGAACAGTGTTGGGCTATGGGATTCCCGACTTCTCACAGAAGCGGTACTACTTCACCGAGCCACATTCGTATTGGGTCTAGAATTCAGTTGCACGCACGCACTCACTCGGTATCATCCAGGTCAGTGATGTGTAGGAGCATGGATAACTGGAATTGAATACCCCGGGACAACAGCATCCCGCAGCCGATGTTTAAAAGGTTCCCCAATGACCTCAGCAATGCTGCATGCATGCTACTGGACTCTTGAGCCAGTATGAGTAAGTGTGTATTACCTGATCCAGCGTGATCATTACATCGCTATCATTCACACAACAATACAGAGAGAGAGAGAGAGAGAGAGAGAGAGAGAGAGAGAGAAGAGAGAGAGAGAGAGAGAGAGAGAGAGAGAGAGAGAGAGAGAGAGAGAGAGAGAGAGAGAGAGAGAGAGAGAGAGAGAGAGAGAGAGAGAGAGAGAGAGAGAGAGAGAGAGAGAGAGAGAGAGAGAGAGAGAGAGAGAGAGAGAGAGAGAGAGAGAGAGAGAGAGAGAGAAAGAGAGAGAGAGAGATAGCCAGAGAGAGAGCGTGAGAGAGAGAGAGAGATAGATAGATAGATAGATAGATAGATAGAGATAGAGATAGAGAGAGAGAGAGAGAGAGAGAGAGAGAGAGAGAGAGAGAGAGAGAGAGAGAGAGAGAGAGAGAGAGAGAGAGAGAGAGAGAGAGAGAGAGAGCGATAGATAGATAGAGAGAGAGAGAGAGAGAGAGAGCGATAGATAGATAGATAGATAGATAGATAGATAGAGAGAGAGAAAACTGTGCTGCAACAGGCAAAATGATGGCTCTAAAACGGGCAGCCTGAACATAAGATGATCATGACTACGTGCAACTCGGAGTTGCAACACAGCTCCCTCTCTTTAACTCTCTCTCTCTCTCACTCCATTTCTCTCTCTCTCTTTCTCTCTCTCTCTCACTCTCTCAATCTATCTTTATCTCTCTCTCTCTTGTGTCGAAGGCTCTTCGAGCAGTGGAGCACGATACTTGATTACATCAAATTATTCACACGATCAGAATATGACGACATAGACATTATCCATATTCGAACACAAAGTTGCGATGGTTGATCGACGCCATGTCGCATTGTCCTCAGTATTAAAGTGTCCTCAGAGGCAAATGGTTCATCTAAAAAGAATGAAGGGGATGAGTGTCACTATGTGAACCCCTGGAGGATGAGCATACGGCCAGAGAAAGCGAGCACACATACACGCGAATACCGGGCCATGTACGCAAATATACACACATACCATGTACACACACGCACGCACATACCGATACATAAAACACACAGACACACACGCATAAGCAGAACTACACGAATAGCAATATTAGCGGGAGTCACACACGCCGTGATACACACTATGCCCGAGGAGAGAGATTCTGGAACTGATTCTTTGAACACCTTCCGCTGGTTCCACGAACCACCTAGCCAAGACACTAAACGTCAACAATTGACACCTCATTACATGACGATACATGTACACCGTACACTTCCATGAGCTACAGGTAATCAAGCATATACATGTACTTCACTCATGTCCCAGCATCGAAATTTGACATCCGCGATGTCACGTTGGTAGTACGTGCACATGTACATGTTCTGCCAAGAACAAGCCTGTAGTTATGTTCCGATTTGAATCTACTCTGAGTAGACTTGGGGGTCATCCTGTCAGGATGATGTATGGTAGGAAATCCTGCCCGTTAAATGTGGATGGGAGATTGGGAGTTCTGCAAAGGTTCAGTTGTGCGCTCCGAAGACAGGTACCTATACATGTACTTCTGTTTCCTGATGATCTTGGGCACCCTGTAAGAAGACCTTAGGCTCTGCTGGGAATGCTCAAGAAAAATACTTCAAAAGAAGAAAAGAAGTAATAAAATACAAATACAAATGATCGCTTTAAAAGTTTAAATACATGCACTGCTTGAAACTCGGAGTACAAACACTTTTTCATCCTCTTATTCTTGTTGGGACAGGTACTTCATGTACTAGCCTGCTTTGTTTCGCGCCCTCACAAAGTCACATTTAGGATTCCCAGTAAAAATGCAGCATTGCCTGTTGGGAAATCCATAACAAAAAAAGACAAAAAATAATAATACTAGTTTGAACTCGGATGGTGAGCCAATATAGTTAGGATGAAGAAAGGAAAAGGACAAATGTTACGAGTTATGACAAACTGTCCACCAACGTAACCAGATCTTATACAGTCAGCAAGTGCGACAAAATGGCACAACACTGACAAGGAGTACTGAGACATTCGTTGGAGCTAGGTGTCAGGTCGCCGAATGTCTCAGTACTCCTTGTCAGTTTTGTGCATTTTGTCGCACTTGCTGACTGTATAAGATCGATCTGGTTACGTTGGTGGACAGTTTGTCATAACTCGTAACATTTTGTCCTTTTCTTTTCTTCATCCTAATAATACTAGTAGTCGCTTATTCCAGGTCGATTGTCTCTGAAGTGAGGTCAGGGTACACTTATACTGTAGATTGTGTAATACTACATACACATACACATGTACATGATTGTACATGTGTATGTGCACGCAGTCAGTCCTCGGCGAACAGCTGATGCAGAGATACATGTACATGTAGGTTTGAACGATCAGTGAAATCTGCATACCTACCAACCATCCCCATGTGTCGGGCCCGTCCGGATATCGAGGGTGGCAATAGGCACCCAAAAGTGCATTTGACTCTCATGCCTCACAGATACATACATGGTATGTACTCAATCTGCGGACAGCATGCTGTTTCGTTCTTTGTGAACATGGTATGAATACATTTTCATACCTACGTATGTTATTGTCCCGATCTCAGGTTTGCAAAGATTGGCATGGTATGAATCCATCTTCTTTCTCCCCAACCCTCCTTCCCTGTAACACAATAGCATAATCGCTGCCTTGTCATTGAGCATTTGTGCTCGTTTGGATTCGCGAATTCAAATAACGTATACTTGAAGTACAAACAAACGAACATATCGCTATGCTGTGTTTAGTGTAGCCTGTCCGTTCTTCGGCACTACTTTTGAAGTACCTTTTTCTGCA